AAAAAAAAAAATGTTAGTAGGGTTGGTTTGCAATTTCACCAAAACTAAGTGTGATTGGAGATTATGAAAACTGTAGTGAGGTTTCATTCTGCTTATATTTCACCATTTAACTTGAAGATTAATTCAAATGGTAGTTACTGGTGGGATTAATTCAAATGAGAGAATCTTATAAAAATAGTTGATGGCAGCATTACATCCAGTTAGTTTTAGATGAGAATGCAAGATAGCATGACGATGTTTGTATACAAAATTTTTTACTCAAAAGTAGCTTTTTTGGTTAACTAGAATTAATTTGGAAAAGATTTTGAATTTATAATAAAATAATATTTAAAATATAATAATTGAAGTTTTGATGGAAAAGTAGGAGAGAGATGATATGAAGTGATGATTAGTTAAAATTATATGAGTGAATGAATAATGAATTAAAGTAGATGTAATGTGTAAGAATGATTAGATAGTATTATTTAATTATATTGATAATATTGATGATATTGGAGAATTAAAGTTGAGTTAAGTAACACGGAAACACACTCCCAGCGACCACAGAAAAAGACTAAAAAACTAAAACTGAAAAACGGGAACAAGAAGACCACAATCCGAATACAATAAAGACAACAAAAACGAAGAAGAGACGAGAACAAAGGCCCGCAAACTTGAAGCAACCACTGAACCTCGAAACATCCTTAGCTGAGACAACAAGAGACCATCACAACAGACCAAAAACCAGCAAGTCACAATCTCCCACCACTGAATCCTTGGCAGAGCTTGTGCCACACAGCCGAACACAGGGTGCTTTATTTTTTTAAAAATAATAAAAAAACGTGGACAAAAATAAAAAAAAATAAATGAGTAGACAAAAATAAAAACGACGTATTACAGCAATACGTTTTCTTAATAAAATCTTATTTAGAAAACATATTCTAGGAATACGTTTTACACATTTTTTTTAAATTTAAAAAAACAATCCTTAGGAAAAAAAGAAGAGTAATTTATATAAAAATTAAGAAAGGATAAAACGTATTTAAACAATACGTATTTCATAAAACGTATTCTTGAAATGCGGCTTTCGGAGCCCTAAAATTTGTGAATTTTAGGTTTTCAAAACACGTATTTAAGGAATACGTTTTTAGAAAACCTAAAATTCCCAAATTTTAGGGTTTTATAAAACGTACTCAAAGAATACGTTTTATGGAAGCCCTAAATTGGGCAAATTTAAGTTTTCTTGAACACGTATTCTTGAAATACGTTTTTAGGAGCTTTTTTAAACCGCAATTGTTAAAAAATAAATTAATAAAAGACGTATACAGCGAATACGTTTTACAAATAAATATATTTAAAACGTATTCTCTAAATACGTTTTCAGAATAAATATAACCAGCAGATCCCTTCTTCTCCATTTCATTTGCGCGACCAAATTACAACACCACACGACACACGACGAAGCAGAGAGAAAGAGAAAGAGCTGAAAAAATTTCAGAAAAAAAAATTCGATACCATCTCACCTCGGCGTGAATCGACAACATCGACACGAGCCTCTTTTCCGGCTAATTCATTCGCACGAGGTATATTGGCTTATCGTAAATTTTATATTGTTTGGAATTGTTTGGAGATTGACAATTTGTAAAAAAATTGTTGAATGTGATGGTGTTTGAAGATTGAGAATTGGTAATTGCTTATCGATTATGGTTGTATGTTGAATTGTAGATTGAAATTTTGTTTTAAATTATGGATTATGTTTTGGTTGGTCCTAGGGTTAGGGTTTGTTGAAATTATGGTTAAAATTAGGGGTTTCGATTTATTCGTAATATTGTTGAATTCTATGTTATTGTTGGGTTATGGGTATTATATTTTGGAGGATTATTCGATTGGGAATATTTTATTTTTTTTTTTTTGTTTTGTTTGTGTTGGAGTAAAAAAATTGGTTTGAAATTTTAAATTGTAAAATTTGTTTGTGTTGGATTAAACATTATGTGTTGTTGTAGTTGTGAAAAGTTTTTAAATAAGATTGTTGAAATTTTTTGCAACAGGTACGAATGACGTTTTCTGGTCCATACATCGTTAATTTTTATTGGCAGTTTGCGAAGGATCGGTTGAGGGATTTTGCTTCATTGATAGATCGTCCGGATGGTTCAATTCTTATTAATGGTAAGATATCATTTCAAGAATTGGTATCGATGATTTATGATAATTGTCGGTTTGGACAAGGTTGGAGAATTCAGGAGATTACATTAATGGTCCAATCCGATGGTTCGTGGACTACCGCCGTACTCAATAATGACAATATTCTTTAGTGGATTTATTTCTTTCCTCTTATGTCCACTGTGTATTTGCATTTATCGTTTGAGGCAATTGCACCAGTTTCACAGTTTGAGAATTTTACTCCTTTTTACGGGGAAGTGATTCATGGGGAGGGTCCGTCGACTTCTCATCAACGTAATTTTGGAGAAGGGACAAGCTCCACAATGAGAGAATCGGCAAATGAGGTCCGGGAAGAAAGTGATGAAGATTTCATTCCCGGTGACGATGATTTCACAGACGAGACCTCAGAAACCGAATATGATAGATCGGTAAATGAGGAGAGCGAACACGAGTTCATTGAAGAAGAACACCCATTTCCTAGTGGTGGTCGGCACATATACTGCGAGATGGGTGAGTGGGATCCGTCCAGTATAGATGCGAACGAGTATGCTCTTCCTCGCTTTAAGGGCGACAGTGAGACCATAGGTTTGGGTACTGTTTTTAGGAGCAAGGAAGAAGCACAATGGGGTATATTGCATTGGAACGTGGCTAGGTTGAGGGCGGTTTGTACGATCGATTCAAATAAGAAGTCATACAAAGTGGTCTGCAGATCTAATGAACATGAACCTTGTTTGTGGAAGGCTTGAGTGACTAAGAAACGGGCACATGAATTGTGGGAAGTAACTGAGTGGACTGACAGCCACAGTTGTATGCAACGGGTCGAGGGAAATGACCACAGAAACGTAACTGCCCGTATGATTTCAAATCTTGTAATTAACAAGATTGAAAAGAAACTGGACTACGACGTTAATATGATCCAGGCCGATGTGAAACAGTGTTGGAATGTCGATGTCACCTACAAGAAGGCATGGCACGGCAGAAAAATGGCCATCGATCATGTGTATGGCAGTTGGGAATCGAACTTCACAGAACTCCCATAGTAAGCAAAAATTAATTATAAATTCATGTGTTGTTTGTATGTCAGCATGTTTATTTTATTTATTTATGAAACTGTTTTGTAATGTGCAGTTTTTTTGGGCGCTTCAAAGCGCGAATCCCGGCACAATTGTACAGTGGGAATGGCAGGGCGGGGACATGGCACTTCAGTATCCAGACAGAGAATTTAAATTTGTATTCTAGGCGTTTGGTCCGGCCATTCAAACCTTCCAACTATGCCCGCCGTTGATTAGCATCGATGGCACACATTTGCGCGGTTCGTACAAGGGAAAGTTGCTTGTTGTCATTGCACAGACAACGAATAAGCGGCTATTGTCAATCGCCTATGCGATTGTTGATGAGGAAAGCAAGGATAGCTGGTCATTTTTCCTGACCAATCTGCGCCAATCTGTTGTCTTCGACCGAAACATTTGTGTTCTCTCCGACAGGGATAACGGCATATTGAGTGCCATTGAGTCATTGGTTGATTGGCAAGAACCGACTGCATATCACCGGAGACGCACACCTTCCATTTCGATTTTGGGGACGCGACGATCACACTCCAGGACGTCCAAGTCCTGTTTGGTCTCCCGGTCGATGGAGAGCCTTATTTGGGAGAGACTATAGATTACACGCCCATGGAGTGGCAAGAGGCGTGTTTAGATTACCTGGGGTACGAGCCCTTGTACCAGGTAAATTATTTAACTCAATGTTTTTTTTTATTTCTTATTTGTTAATATATATTCTCCACTAATTCGTTTTTAATATATATAAAATACTTTCAGGATAAAGATGACCCGGACTACAACTCCAAAAATTGCCACATTAAAGGCCAGTTTTTGAAGACGAAGAGCTTGAAGACAGAGTGCAAGAGACCACTTGCAGATGGGCTATTTCAAGAAGAGTACAATCAGAGGGCGATGGCCCTTATACTCTGGTGCCTTGGATCGTTCTTCTTCCCTGACCACCGAGCTAATGGAGTCAACCTGTACTGGATGCAGATATTGATCGACATTGACAAGATCAAGACGTACAGTTGGGGTCCAGCGGTCCTGGCCTCTGTTTATAAAGCACTGTGCACAGCCTACGCGATAGGGCAAGACTGGTGCAAGAGTTGTGTCCAATTGATTCAGGTAAATTTATTTACTTGTTATTTGAAAATTCAATTTTGTTTTTTTTTATAACTTAGACTAATATCTAATAATAAATGCATATGTCGATATGTGTAGGTTTGGGGATGGGAACGTATCCCTCGAATTCGCCCAACATTGAAGACGTCGAGGTTTGATTCTGTCATTAGTTGTCCTTTAGGTGCAAGGTAATCACATTTTTTTTTTAATTTAATAGTTTATAATAAAAAAATTGTTCATTTTTTTTTTTTTATTATAAAGTGATTCATTTTTTTATGTTTTCTTTTAAGGTGGGTGGGACCGAAGGACACGATACACATAGCTACTAGAACAGCCGCTATCCGAGACCAGTTGACAGGCTTGAGAGAGACTGATGTAAGATTAATATTAAATCTTATTCATTTGTGATTTTTTATTGTTTATACTTCATTTATATATATATATATATATATATATATATATTAATTTTATTTA